CAACCCTTTAATAAAGCTAAAACCGTTGCCGACGGAACGTTGTCTCCGTTTTAGGTCTCAACTTCAAATCAATTCAATGTGCTGAATTACGTGTGCGGAAAAAAAATTTGTTCTTTTTAGGGTTCTGTGACAGTATCTAATGAACCATGCTAGTTTGTCAGAAATGGTGTATTTCTGTTGCCGCTATAACAATAACTACTAAATAAAATATTCTTGTGGGATTTATATGAGATAATGGTAATGAACCATTCGTGCGCGCGTCCCACTAGCAGTTGTCCAATTTTTTGTTTACACTTTTACCCCGCAAAAGGGAAGATAATACGGTATTTTACAAACACAGTGTAAACATGGACCAACCAAATCCAGAACAATCATCTTTATCTCACACAAATGTTTGTATCACATAGGAATCGTACCCACGACCGTCTGCGCAGAAATCCATCTACTATGATGCAGCTTTAACGTACTAACGTACACTATAATATTAAGACGATAGGGATAATAAAATGTTATGTCTCTTCTAATTTTATATTCATGCGGCGCGTCTGTCGTAAATTACGATATTATGTACCTAATTCAAACGCTCTCTTGACTTTTTTATAATACACCGTATAGGTATGTTAATCTTATTTGTAATGTGATTTTTTGTTAAATCCAATTATGGCTATAGTGAGCACTTTTCAGAAACCATTTGGTGTGGTCATTTAGTTTTCTGAGTGCAAGAATCGTGTTCACATCGTGGGTATTATCTATAATTATATATATCATCATTTCGAAAATATGCCAGTATCTCACGATGTTTTCTTCCACCGATGAGCTCTTGATAAATCAGCTTTTAAAACTGAAAATTTAACAAATTCATCCGTGCCGGCACAGGGTCATGAACTAAGGATGCTCGAGTGTGTTGAATTAAAAAAGTGCGAGCGCCCGCACAATGAGTAAAATAGTAAATTTTAAAACAATAAAACGTATATGATATGGGTTAAGTAACAGCTTACATCTGTCCCACTGGTGGGCAAAGGCCTCCTCTGTACAGAGGGTAGTAGTCCTATATATCTTTGAAATTTATTTTGTTTTTGTTAATGTTTCGAAAATATGCAGGTTTACTCACGATGTTTTTCCTTCACCGCTGAGCACTGATAAGTCAGCGCTTAAAATTAACAATGTCATTGGTGCCATCAGCGGGGGTCGAACTCAAGTTGCTCGGGTAATTCGAGAATATTGAATTAAAAGCGTGCGCCTGGACAATCACAGCTCTTTAATTTTTTTATGATATGGTTGCTTGTGTACACATTTAAAATTATTTATGTATGAAATATCATCCACATAAGCCACGAAAACAATTATTGATCAAATGCATTTATTATTTTTTATTATTTTATTTTTCATTTATTTATTTAATGAATTTAATTTAAATCTGTACTTTATGCAATCGAATTTAGTTAAAAATACTTTTATTTATATTAGGCTATTAATCAAATCAATGTTGTATGTGGAATATGTGGAATATGTATGAAAATCGTAACCCTTAGAATTGCATCTGTGAACACTTGACTCAAAATTCATTAGTGAAAATATATGCTACATCCAACACAATTCAGCTTTGTTAGTTCAGTTAGCGCCGATGCTAAGCTATTGGCTTCGGCGGCGTAGGTCGCGGGTTCGATTGTAACAGTTGATTGTGTGATCCAAAAACAGAACCCTTTCCAAGTGCGAGTGAGACTCGCGCTAGCAAAGGGTTCTGTACCACTATCTATAAAAACGGCAACAAAATTATGTCTGTTGTGTGGGAGCCGCACTGAAATATTTTTATTCTGTTTTTTTTTTAGTATTTGTTGTTATAGCGGCGACACAAATACATCTTCTGTGAAAATGTCGAATCAAATATCGAACTGTCACGATTCATGAGATACAGCCTGGTGACAGACGGACAGGCAGACAGACAGTGGAGTCTCAGTAATGAGGTCCCATTTTACCCTTTGGGTACGAAACCCTAATTATCATCCTAAATTTGAGTACAATTTACACCCGATACCGATACTTAAACATTCTGCACCAAGCGAAATATATAAGATAAAATTTTATAAAACCAAACAAAGTTACCATTGTCTATTTTCTATAAGAAACTTATTTTAGGCTATCCATATCTCACGTTTGGTTAGTCGGTAATTCGGTATTCAATACAAAAGACAATAATGATGGGTTCAATAATTATGAACTTTATGAGAAGAAATATAAATAAATAAATAATATGTTGCAAATTGAATTCTAAACTTGACCTACATGCAAAAGCTTTGTAAAATATATTCGTTATAATACGAATAAAATTATTACGACATGTTGAATTTAAAATCTCAATTTAAATCTCTTAAATGGACATTCTATTCAAAATTTTGGAGCAGACCAATAGTTGTATGGAATTTTAATACGGCTTGCCAAAATAAGGAGGTCATTTATCCACCCACCAGATCGATACTCTGAAAAAGCGTTGGCTGGCAACAAATCAGTGATAGTTGTTCGCGACTGCCGAAGTGTAATGTTTGTATGTAGGTACGTCTTATTCTTTGGCTCAACAACCTGAAAGTTTTGCAGATTTGAACATATGAGGTGTCAATAGATTTATTTTAGTTCTGCGATTGACTTAGGTACCTACTATTTCAATATAATTCTGACACCATAATATGAGGAATAGTAAGTGTTTTTAATGCAATCGAGACTTTTTGTAATTCGATAATTTATGCTTTTTCACATCACTGGTTGATTACAATGATTATTTTATTTTTCTAAAAACTTAACTAACTAAGGTAACTTAGAAATAGTCTCATATAACTTTGCGCGATATCAAACGATGGGACCTTTGAGAATGTCATTAAACATTTCTCAAGTTTAAATTGTAGAGTCCATTACTATAAATATTTTTTTAACTGCTAAAATAATTCACACAATATTTTTTTCATTTATTCAAATATAAGCTTTGGTGTTACATTTCGTGTTCGATTTCAGCTAAGCTCTGTCGTGTAACTTGTTTATGTGAAACGCCTTTACAATGCGAAAGCATTTTATTCTTCTACACGATTAATATTTAAAGACTAATATAGTTATAGACTATTATAAATACACGAATGTTCATTTTTCCGCTATCCGCCACTGCAATTATCGATGTTATGCCGTTTCCGTAAAATAACCCCGCATGTGCTATATATCTTAATAGATTTTAGCAATTTTTGTCTGTATTCCCAAGGACTTTGGCTGCATTTATGCAATATTCTAGTGTTTCCTTCATAACTCTTAATCATCCTTGATGTTAGTCCAGCAACGGGAACTCTTGCGGGAAATTTTCTGCCGCGAACGACTTTCCAACTGACTTCATAAAAGGGGCCGGTTCTCAATTCTATTGTATTTTTAGGGTTCCGTACCCAAAGGGTTAAAACGGGAACCAATTACTAAGACTCCGCTGTCTGTCTGTCTGTCCGTCTGTTACCAGGCTGTATCTCTTGAACTGTGATAATTACTCGTAGACATTGAAATTTTCACAGAGGATGTAATTCTGTTGCCGCTATAACAACAAACACTAAAAAAAGAATTAAAAATATTATGTGGACTCCCATACAACAGACATGATTTTTTTTGCCGTTATTATAGATATTGGTACGGAACGCTTCGTACGCGTAGACCGGTTTGTTTTATGAAACGATTTTTAAAGTTATTTTTGGATAGGATTCGTGGTATAATACTAATTTCATTGATATCAGAAGAATACAAAGAGATAGATAGATCTTTAGATACAAAGAAACATTTAAAAAAATGTATATTGTGGTAATTATTTCAAGTCGGTTTCGTTGGTAAAAATTGTACTTGTTTATGAAATCCGTTGTCGGTATTACCGGAGTAATACCACTTATGAATCTATTCTTTTCTAGGGAAATCTGCGAGCTGAAGATTTTTTTATTTGAATAGTTGCCAAACGAGCCGGCCGTTCACCTGATGTTAAGTGAATACCGTGGCCCATGGACATGTGCTACACACGAAGGTTTGTAGATGCGTTGACAACCTTTTTGAAAATTGGGCTCCAGCTACCTCACTCACCAGACGAAACGCGAAAGTGTTATTATACTATCACTTTACGCCGGTCTTCTGTGAGGTCGTGGTACTTACCCGGACGAGCCTGCCCATTCGTGCAACAGCTGAGGCTGCTGCAAGGCCCTACCACAGTTACCTACCACAATGCTAACTTAATGTTGACCACTCAGCAGACGAGCTAACTGTTGCCCCCTTGTTACATAACAATAAAACATGGGAATCCAGTCGTATTATGCTAATATATTCCAGTCCACGCTTTTGTGTGACCGAATAAAATAAAAAAATTCCAAATAAAAATAGTACAAGATGAAAGACAAACTATTGATGGTGGGAGCGTTCATGGACAACCATTTTGGTTTTGCGCTCAATAATTATAGCCGTGATTTTCGAGTTTGCGGATTTTTTTTAATTTATGAGACACAGCTGAACTTGTTTAGTATTAGCGATATTTAAGTCTAGCTTTTGTCCCCATTTTAACAAAAGTTATCTTTACGGCATTTTTAAATTCGTATTCCTTATAAAAAAACAAAAGAAATGAAATGTGCAAAAATAATGGAATTACAAAGCAAAATAACTAAAGTAAAAACTAAAAATAAACAAAAAAAATATAAAGTTATCAGATGACTTGAATTGTCATAATTGAATTTCCTAAATTAAATCATGACTACGTCAGATAAGTTATCACAACAATTAAATGGAATGCTATTACTTGCTAGTTACTTAATAATCCCCAATTTGTACTTCAAACAATTGCCAGGAGAGTCTATTTTCATTTCGGAAAACCAAGCCAAGACACGCGAAAATACGACCAACGTAAAAATACTTAGCATAAAAATCTTTAGCCACTATCCAAAATACAAAACGAAGACTCAAACCTGTATAGTTCACAGTATATAAACGCAAGCGTGACGTCACAAACAATGGGTTTTGGCGATTCAAAACTGAAACCGAAAAGATTACGAACCGCCAATCAAATCTGGGACACTAATGGCACATACACAACGAACGGGAACAGCGCACGCGTCACAACCGATCGGACAATCGTAAGCAACTTACCAGAGCGGTGGATAACTAGACTCTGTTATAACGTAGCAACATCCTCCACGGATGCCCTCAGATCCGCGAGCGAAACGCAGAGAAATCGCGCGTCCGCAAACCGACACCTCTCCGACACGCTGTGCCGCGGCACTGAGCAGGAATGGGCGACGCTAGCGGAGCGATATCAGTACTAAATATTGCCCGGCAGATAACGACCGGCGACTTACAAAACGGGGCCGAGGCGAGGTAGTCCTCGCGTGAGCTCTGACCACCCTGGACCGGGAAAATGTCGTCATAATGGAGAAAGGGCGGGAAGCGCGTACGTCGTCGTCTACATTCTATGCATTGCAATTGAGAAGTAAAACCGGCCAAGTGCGAGTCGGACTCGCGCACGTAGGGTCCCGTAATCATGTCTGTTGTATGGGAGCCCCACTTAAATATTTTTTTATTCTGTTTTTTTAGTATTTGTTGTTATTGCGGCAACAGAAATACATCATCTGTGACAGTTGCAACTGTCTAACTATCACGGTCCATGAGATACAGCCTGGTGACAGACGCATAGACCGACAGAGAGACAGTGCAGTCGTAGTAATAGGGTCCCGTTTTACCCTTTGGATACGATAACCTAAAAAGAAAACCTACTTCAAATATCTCATTGACCATCCATTTTCTATTTGTATTTGCGGAGTGCCCTGATGTACCTACGGAAACCAAGTTCCTATACTAATGATTATGAACTACTATAGGACCACAAGGGACCTAAACCGAACGCGATACAAAAAGAAATTTCTAAATCTGTTCATAAATGACGGAGTTCTGAGGTGAACAACATAAAAAAAAAATGTACAAGCGAATTTATAAACATCCATTCTAGAAATCTTGTTCTTGAAAATAAAGAGACTATAGGTACAATTTCGAGATTTGAACCCGAATATCCCTCCCTAGAAAAGAAGCAAAAAAGGGTGGTTCTTTGAGGGTTTGTAGTATTTTTTTATGTCTACAGCGTAGCGTGAATTGAGTGCCCGTATGCTATGGCTATGCGCCGAGATCGGGACCTCTGCTTCCACCGTCAAGGCTTTCGGCAGCTGGAGCCGGAACAGCCCTGTATAGCGGGTGTACCCCAAGTACGCTGTATATCACAAGATCGAAGACAAGATCGGGTATCGGTTGTTCGAGAACAAGCGTGGAGTATTGAACTAAAAATCGAGTTTTGTATACAGGCCGGCATTACCTGACATTCCTAACTTATATCATTCGCTTATATAAGCTAATGTCATCTATTTGACAACGAACTACATTCGGGATTCAACAGCTCCGGGCTTATCGTAATACACCGTAACTAGGCTGTGATTATTGAAGTTCACTGTTATACGAACGGTATCAAAAAGTCGGTTTAGCAAAATTAGATGCTCGTGACTAGAGACGACTGCACGCATGTGTCTAAAATGGATAGATATCAAAAGCAGAGTGGAAAATAAGGCTACACTTTGAAAAGTTTTCACTTTATGTTGAAATGTTCAAAACTGGCTACCACTTTGCAGTGAAATGCTAGCCAGTTTTGAATTAAAAAAAAAAAAACAAGTTTCTTCTTCCTTCCCCGTTCAACGAAATTTTTGGCTTATTCTTATTTTTTTTTTTAGCTTTGAAGTACATTACATATACGTATGGTTTTTTGCAGCTGTGTAATAATTGAGCCACCTACCGGAGAGGATGTAATAATAATGTCCGTTGGACTGGCTATCTACATAATTCTATCAAAATAAAACTAAAAAATTAATCCCCAGCGACGCCAAAGCCAAAGTTGTGGATGACTTAAAAAATGACTTGGACGGCCATTTATAAAGGCGGTCAGTAAACTTACAAATATTATAGATTCCCTAATGATCTGAAATTGATTAGGTAGTTTAACATATTAAAGACGTATAATATGTGGCGCCATATTTGTTTATCACTAGCTGTTACCCGCGACTTCTTGCGGAGGGTTAATACTTCGGGTAGCTAATTTTCTTCTCCAAGGTCCTATCTATCTTTATACGAAAATTCATCAAAATTTGTTCTGTGGCTTAGTCGTGCCAGCGTAACAGACAGAGTTACTTTGAGATACTACCATAAGCTATATTATTGTAGTTTCATTAAAATCTATTCAATTGTTTTTGCGTGAAAAAGTAGCAAACATTCATACATCATAATGCTATTATTGAAATGCGGGGTTTAACCGCTATGATAAGCAAATTTTACGATTTTCATCATAACTAGCCGCTCGGTGGACTAAGGTTGTCTAACATACAACAACAACATCGCGGAACCCATATTGGTGGAGCTTTCACCACAACGCCTCTTACTCCTAGTGGGTAACAAAATTATCTAGTATTACCGAATCCAAGCTTCCCAAGATCTGAAATAGCACGGTAATATTAGAAAAATCATATAAACTCTGTGTTAGCGTGGCGACACGGGAGTAATTCTGGTCGTGACTTTAAATCGTGTTGTTTTATAATTTAGTTAAAGATAATTTAATGGGAATCATTTATTTAGAAGTTGTGATTTCTTTTTAAAAAATCAAATTCACTTCCGTTCCATAACAGTAGTTTATTTACAGCGGTCAAGTTATATTACAGCGATGTGTCGTTTGTTCGTAGATGAATTAGCAAGTCCATATTCTGGGGCAGTCTCTCTCAGGTGCCAATTAACGATTAGAGTTGGAATACTCGTCGACGGTACACGTAAGAAACGTAATGGGTATCCATCACCACTCAGCAGGTGGCTGGAGTCTGGAGAGGCGTCACGGCACCCTTATCTACCGGGTGACGCAGATCCTCTCGAAAATCCCAGTTTAGAGTTTCATCCTCCAAACAAAGTAATAAAAAGATACTAGTAAACAGCCTTTAAGCTTTTCATTTGTTTACCCCTCATTATAAGAAAATAGTAATTGTAATTGAACGAATTACGTTACTTATACAAACGATGTAAATAATGTTTTTGTAAAGTTTTATCTTCACGCGACGTCATTTTAAGCAAGTTTTGGTTTTATATAAGACATAAAAAAATTACGAGTTTTATCGCTCTTTGTTAAATCACTACATAGTATAAAACAAAGTCGTCCAGCTGTCTGTCTATCCCTATGAATGCTTAGATCTTTAAAACTACGCAACGGATCTTGATACGGTTTTTTTTTACTATATAGAGTGATTCAAGAGGAAGGTTTATATGTTTAATAAATTGCACCCGCGCGAAGCCCGGGTAGGTCGCTGGTACAAAATAAATCCAAGAAATTATCAAGCCTATTCAATTAAATCTGTTCTGTAAGTAATATGCAAGAATTGTGTTCTGAACCATGGCAACCACGGCCGGTAGCTAAGCTATTGGTTTCGATGCTGGGGATTCCCTAATGTACAAGTACTTAGGTGGTCCACAGTGAAATTGGGTGTTTGTTCCTAAGGCGGGTTGACAAGCAGGCGGACGTAAAAACCTGTGACGATATCACTCGTGGGAAGGGCAGAAGGATGACGATGGCTTATGTTAAGACAAAAACGTTAAATAAAATATAGATTAATTTGAAAGTGCTGGCCAGTTTTGAATTAAATAAAAAAGAATCCGGCTAAAATATTAACCGTGACAATATAATTATCTAATTTTAAAGGTCACCGACAGCAGGCAACACGGCTCACAGTTTTATAATAGCTGGTTATGAATATATAGATAATAACACGAGAGAAGATTCAGGTTCCCGCCAAAACTTGCCCTACCTATTATTAGTTTATTCCAGTTAAAATTATTTTTGACTTAAACAACATTGTCTGCCGTTAAATACTTCATTATGTGTAAATTGTATTCTTAATTCATTTATCTAAATCCTTGTTGTATTTTTCACAGTAATTGATAAAATTTTCAACGAACATAATAAAATGAATTTTATTTGCTTGAAATTTAATATGATACACATGGTGTATAAGTTGACTAATTAATCTGAATTGGGCATTGGACACTGCTACAAAATAACCATAAAAAGAAAAAAACGTCATTCAAAAATGTCACCGCTAAAGTACGTTTTAAATGAAACCTATTGTTTCCAAAAGCGAAATAAATAATTAATACATAATTCGGTACATATTTTTACATTTATCTAATCACATACTAGCGAAGCTTGCGCTATGGGCACTAGGTAACTGATAAAAATTCCTAAGTGTACTTCCCTTTAGTGAATAAATATAGATATATAATCACCCAAACACTATAATCATTACAAAATACTTTTCCACTAGCCTGGATCGAACTCACACCCTCTGACGCAGGAGACAGGGCTACTAACCACTACGCCAATTGGGCTAATAATGCACATTATTGTAAATGTCACAAAACATGTAAAAGTGCAATTTAAAAATACCTAGGTACATAATATGATTATTATAATTTTAAATAAATCTAAAATAGAAATAAATTTATACAAACAGAAAACGACTAATAATATCGATAGACTTATCCAAAAATGTCAATTTCAAGGTTTCAGAATAAAATTTTGCCAATAAGAATGCAAATTTTTTAAAGACGGCTGACGTCAATCGATCGAATGTTATAATACATGATGGAAGTTCTCGTCATTCCTTTTAGTGAACTAAACAAAAATGTGAACTTTTTTGAAATTCTTCTAAAATACATATCATCATGGTTTTTTAAAAATTTTTTTTAGGTGATTTCATGGTTGCCTGGAGTAATTAGCAATTAGCAATAAGGCCACCTATATGTACACTCTGTTTCCTGTATTTTCCTTCTGTGTATTCCCTTGTGACCAATAATGTATATTCTATTATTCTATTATTCTATACATCTTGAGTGAATACTGAGCACTAAAAATAAAATTATTATTATATAACTTTTATAAAATAAGTATTATGTTTTAAAGTTTTTTTTTTATAGTGCTAATCTCTGCACTTAAGATTGAACATTAAAACGTGTAGAAAAAGTACGAAAAGATTGTCGCCGCTGTGGGAATCGAACCAACGTCTTCGGCATTCGCGGCCTGACGCCTCTAGCCACTGAGCTAAACGGCTGATAGCCACAGCGACGAAAATCTTAACGCCTTCTTTCTACATTATTATTTAGCATTTGAAGCAATGCTTGGCGCATCTATTGTTATATCCTTTCCAGCATACAAACAATTTCGAATATCGTTTTAAAACGATAATTCGAACGA